AAAAAAAAAAAAACATTTTGGTTGAACATTTGAATAACAACAAATTTTAAGTGTATATTTAAATTACATTGTAATATTTAGGAAGAGGGTTTCACTTTCTATGCTGGGGAGTTATTATGAAGATCAGACAGTTTTGTTGGAACATCTTTATCTTCTGTTGCAGTGTGCATATTGGCACATCTCTATACTAACACTGTTGCCCCTCATTACCCTCTCGTCTCTGTTCTAAACTGTGCAGCTAACTGAAAAACTGTTTTGTGTCCATTGTGTTGGCACCTGCATTGTGGACTTTTACAATTTGCTACACTGGGCCTTTGCAATTTGAAGGGCAGAATTGTTGAAAATTATTTTATGGTTGTATTGAACTACACCTCCCTATACAAATCAGTCTCCTGAGGCAAAAAATCCTACATTTATTTATATATACATTGACTTAAATGCAAATGACAACAATCACTAAAAATCACTAATGAATAATAGCAATTTTTCACTATGCATATATATACCAGAATGGAGAATATAAATCAATGCGGGTTTAAAATTTAGAGGCCCAGAAAAGAATATTATTGCTTCCTCAAATATTCTTGTTCTATTGTGAAACGGGCTTTAAAATAAGTGATTTGGGCATCACAGACCTATAGAATTATGTATGGTACAGTATTGTAATACAAAGATTGAGTGGCCAGTGAAAAAACATAAAATGGAATTGAAATTCATTTGTGAGCAGAGGGATGATTTCCTTGCACTACATCTGCTATTCCTAGAGCAGGTGTAGAGCATTAAGCCAGTAAAGACTGTAGCTCATAAGAATCATGAGAATGAGCACCACCAGAAATACAGCTTGAGCACTTAAGTTCCCTGTGGGCCCAGTAATATTGCAGAAGTGCCACATTGTATCACCTTGTACACAGATCCAGGGACACTACCCATATTATTTTGGAGATGAATATCCAGCAAAAGAATTTCCTTCATATTAACTTGAGTTTTAAAGTGTTGTATGGTTTTACTGAGAAGTGCTACTTATTTTGCCTACTTTTTTTAGCCTACAAAAGTTTTAAAAATCTTATTCAAACTTTACTGAACCAGAGCAGATAAAGGTCAACATGAAATAAAAGAAACCCAACCCATCAGTCTCTGCCAAGATAAGCTGTATGACCCTTGTGGGTTTAGTGCTTAGTTATGATTATAATAATAATAATAATTGCCAAGATAAAATTTTAGGTCTGTGCTTTTTTATGTTGCAAAAGCTGAAATAAACTGATCTTAAACTTTTTTCAAGTTTTTTTCACTAATAGAACTTTTTTTCTTTGTGAATCTTTGAGTACTATTTCCTGAAAGTTTCAGATAAATTAGAATGAAAAAAAAATTGCTTTGTGAGTTAAAAAGTAACCCTTCCATCTCTAAAAAACCCAAACTTTAAAAGCCAGTGCTGTATGACCCTAGGGGGTTTAGCACTGGTTTTGATTAAATAATTTATAAATCACAACCCCTTTCCAAAGGGGAAAACTAAATATTAAGACTGCATCCTAAAAGTTTAAAAAATAGTTTATAAATATATTCCAATGACATTTTATGTTAAATTGGTAGTGCCCATTGGCGTATGGAAGTGACTTTACAGTAGTTAATGTACAAAATAGTTTAACATGTTTGTGATCTGCTAAAAATTCAACTCCAAAACAAATAAAAGGTCATTGCCTGAAAAATTAGTCTACATTTTTCCATGAGGAAATTTTAAAAAAATTAGGGGTTTTTAAATCAAAAATAAAGTTAGAAAAAATAAACATTTTCAAGAATCCTTACAGGATTTGTTATTTTAAGTCAGCTTTTCAGTATTTATTGACAGTACAGGTGCTGATGACCCTTAAAGATTAGCATTTCTCTTAAAGTACTGTATTAAAATATGCATGTTTTGGGCCTGTTTTAAAATGTATTGGAAAGCAGGTGGCCACCCCTTTGTCTCACTTTGCCCGATTGACACTACCCCGCAAGGCCCCCTTTTTCCTTTATAGGCCCCCTTTCCCCCTCCCCAAAAACTACCTGCACTCTACAGAAACCACCTGCCTTTAACAGGCAACCCGCTCTTTTTCCCCAAAAATACCTTTCCTTCATACTCAAACTGCTCTACCCCGCCATAGTCACCCCAAACCCCCCTCCAAAAACCCCCCGCCTGACTCGACAAACTACTCTGCACTATTCCCGAGGGGTGCTCTGTCTTACACAGAATGATCTGCCTTCAAAGAACCTGTTTCTCCCTTTCCCCAGAAATTCTTTCCCTACTCCCCAGGATACCCCGCCCTTTCCACAGAACAAAAATTTTCCTTTCCCCAAAATACCTTCTTTTACAAAATTATTCTGCCCTCCAAAAGAACTACCTGCCCCCACGAAAAACTCGTCCCCACAGCTACTAGGTCTCCACATAACTACTCTGCCCTCCTGGAATTAGTTGCCCTTTCCCAGAACTACGGCCCCCCAAAACTGCTGGCCCTCCCCGAATGCTTTTCCCTCCCCAAAAAGCCCACTCTGGGTGGGTGGGAAAGTGGGGGCAGAGGAATGGAAAGGGGTTTTAAGAGGGTGGGAGGAAAAGGTGTAACATTAGAGGGGGTGTGATAAATTTTACGGCAAGATTTATCGGTTTTGGCCTGAGTATCGAAACACAACTGCCTTCATTCCCCCCATTCTGCCTCCTTTCCCCTCAGGGGGTTTCCTTGATGCTCGTGGGGGGCTTGTTAGGTTTGGATGGTGCCCATTTTTCCTGATCCCTTTCCACCCCCCCATGCGCTGAAAAACCCCTACGGGTTTAGCGCCCCCCCATTATATAATTACTACTCTATACTCTTCTCAAGGGAGGTTCCCTTGATGCTGCTGGGGGCTCTTGATTAGGGAATTGGATTGTCCAATTCCTTAAAAAAACTGAATTTCCTTTCCCGGGCCATTTCCCCACAGCGCTGTATAATCCCTACTGGTTTAGCTCTCCCATAATAATACCTCCTACTAAATTTTTAAATTTACCCTACTAACACCCGAAAAATTTTCCATACTCTCCTTATAACACCAAACTAAACCTTCGCGCTTATACCCTTGTATCAGCCTTCTTTTTATTTAATAATACGAATCTTAAAAAACTACCACTAAAAACATCCTTCCCTATAACCACTACTTTAACACCCCTTATAATTACCCCGCAGCTTCAGGGTCTGGAACAATATGAGGCTGGATCTTTAAGACTCCATTCTTAGCTTCGTTTATTGTTCGATCATGGGTGAATTTTTCCCCAGGTTGAAAAATGCCCCCTTTTTAAATTTTTTCCCCAAAGGTTAATGGCTGTTTTAGTATTTCACTTTATTTACCCCCTTCTGCCTCTGTTTTTGACTAAGACCTACGTGTAGGCGAAAACTTTTAACAAAGGACACAACGTTGCAAGGTTTTAACACATAAAATTTATAGTGTTTTAAAAACAAGAACAAAATTTTTAGTGATTTAGATTTTGAATTTTTTATTTTTTCTGGGGTACCTTAAAAATTTTTTAAAATGGAGATGACTAAAAAGAACTTTTTTTTTTTTTGAATAATACCCGAATTTGAGCTTGTGCAGGCAAACACTCCCACTAATAGGTTTTAAAAGTGGTAATAAAACCCCTTTTTTTAAAACACACTTGAATTTCTATATTTACTGAAAAAGTTTCGCCTGACAGTAGGCCTTTTTAGTCAATACAAAGGCAGCAGACATGGAAGCTAATAAAGATGATGTAGTCCATCAACCTTGGTGTAAATTTTTGAATGGTCAGTCCCCAGCCTGGAAAGAGTTCGGCTCCCTGAAGATGAAATATGGGGGAGTCTTGCCCCCAACTTCACATTGTTCCAATTTTGGGGCTGAACCCCTTCTCAAGCTAAAGGCTGACCCCCTCCAAATATTTCCCAAAGTTTATGGAGATTAAATTTCACTTTGCTACCCTTCCTGCTGCCCCGTTTGCTGAAGAGCCCATGTGTAGGGGAAAATTTCAATCATCAACAAAAAATACCAACTGGGCCAAATGCTTATTCTTCTAAAATTTTGCTTCGTCATTTCCCCCTCCCCCGACCGTATCTTTAATTTATCTCTTCCGTTTTGGATAGAAATATCCAAGGTTATTTTTCCTTTCTTCATTACGAAAATGAATGATTCTTTTTTTTCAATGACCATGCCATGGTGAGGTCTAACAAAAAATACTGAAAAGTTACTGAAACAAATACGTTATTAGCTTGCAGAAACTGCTACATTATAAAAAATGTTCATGCAATGTTCTGAGAAATCATTCATGACTCAATAAAAGGCGGAGCTTAACATGACTGTCAATGACTGTGATAATGGAGGTAGCAAGCAATGGTGCTGGCCTCTATCAACTGAGTAGTCAGATACACATTGCTCACCTGATAAGACACATTAAGGAAGAGCCAGCAGTGATACAACACTTTCCTTGCAAGGAACAACACCCAAAAGCGCCTCGTGGAATATAAGACAGAGAAGAACCCGCAGAATATTTCTGAAGTTTCACTTGCTGAAGATTCATATTCTTGTTGGCTGAGTTCAGTGTTACTCAAGATATAACCGACTTTCAAGATCTGTGGTAATATATTATTTACGTTACGTTGTTAAAATAACAATTATATTGCTACTCAACTATTACTATAATTTTTTTTTTGTATTCTGCTTGTAGAATTATTATTATTATAATCAAAAAGAAGCGCTAAGCCACAAGGACTATACAGCTCTGCTTGTAGAAGTTACCCAACTACTCTTACTATTATCACCACTGTATCCTGTATTGAGTGTTATTAGTCATCTTACAAGCCCTGCTACTCAAACTCATTTTTTTTATTTCCACATGATACATTGTACAGAATTGGATGACATTTCATATAGCACAAGGAAAGCCCCTGGTTATGTACTCATTATTACTTCAGCATCAAGGCACCAACAAAGAAATTATGCAAAATCAAAATCACAAGTGACACAGTCCTTAG